ACCCATCAATGTGATAATGGATACAGATTTTGCTCAGCTTCGTACTCCTGGTCTCTTTATCTCTTCTCCCTGAATAGTACTAGAACAATCTCATGGGAAACTACAAGAAATTCCTTGTCCAGAAAAAATGAGGTTTAATAAAAAAATGGGCTTCCAGTGCAGACAGGTGGGAATGCTGCTGTTGGACAGTCAGGGAACTGAGGCACAGATGAGCTTAGAGACTTGCTCAAGGTCAAACACATAGATATGCACAAGCAAGGAAAGACAGAAGCGTTGCCTACAACTACTGCAACAGCACAGACACCAACGGGGGCTCCTCGTTTCCAACCGTCTTCTATTTTCCGCAGTGTCTGAGCGGGTCATGCAACATTAGGATAGACAAAGGGCAATGTCATGTTTAAAATATTTACGGCATAAATATGGAAAATGCTTAACAAAACCGACACATATATTGAACAGGTTTCCAGAAATATACAAAATTTCCATTTGGAGGTGTTGTGTTTTTTCCTTAGGGATGAAGAGAGAACACAAATACAACTTTCTTTTGCAGGAAGCAGATCTGTAATTGAAAAATCAGTAATTCGCGAAACGTGAAACGTCAGATGGGCCTCACCTTGAGATTAAGACATGTAAATGTAGGTGTCTGCGTGCGAGGCAGGGGGCTCATCACGACATGTTTAACTCGGTTGCCTACACATAAGCATCCAGGGCTTTGGGTTCTTCTGCTGGCCACCGCCCACCATTCCGGAGAGACACGGCTCTCCTGCAGGTCCTGTGGATGCCTCAGGTACCCCAGGGCTTCACATTTAGCACTCCATGCCCATGTCTGGAGTGCTTTTCTCCCAGTTTGAGGGAGAAAAAGAAAACGTTACTTTGCCTGTGTGTTCCTGCAACATGACGATGGGGACAAATCATTGAAGAACAATTTAGGTTCCTACTTTCAGTGACCTTAATTTCATTTTCACCTTTTATGACCTGTTTTCCAGACCCTACCTAACATCAAGCTGTGCTAATTAATACCTTCCTATACTGCTCAGCACCAATGATAGCGTTCCTCACAAGTGTTTTTGACAAAATTGGGCATCAAACGAAGTGCTTTTCTCACTGAATCTCAGCTTTCCAACAGTTGTGGTTTTTTGTGAAAAAACCCACACCTCTTCATTACAGTGTTTTTAATTTCCATATTTTTTTTCTAAAATTAGGAGTTTGGATTTGAGGATCCCACTGTGCTGTCTAATAGTCTCTCTTCATGCCTTGATGCAATCCAAGTTCCCACAGCCCTCATATCCCAGAATCCCAATGGGACAAAAACTGCTGCTCAGAAGAAGCTGTCTGAGCAGGTTGCCCAGCCCAGAGGACTGGGAGCTGTAGAAAAGGCATTGGGACTGCTATTCTCAAAAGACCAAAGAAGTATTTTAAATTTTGATTTTTTACCCAAAAAAATTCAAACTTGTATACGGCATTTTTTAATGGGGGGCGGGGGGAGGGGAAACCTCAGGCTCTCCTGTGCTTTATACAGTGATATATAACTTTGTGGCATGTCACCAACCGAAAATCCTCCTTGCAGAAAGCATTTCTTGGCTGATACGTATTCAGTTTCTGTAGTACTGTCATCCCTTGACTGTGCAATATCTCCAGTCTGGAAGGACTAAGGAGCTGAGTTAGACCCCAACTAGCCCTTGAATGAGTGGGTGCTCAGGGCTGCAAGCAGATACATCTATTTTCCTGCCCTTCTCAGTACATAGCCACCAACAACACCAGCTCCTGAGGGGGAACTGCTCACTTTTTCCCTGCCCTGCTGCCCCCAGGGAACTCGAGGCAAAGGGTTGGCTTCGGACGGGGGTCTGAGAGATGCATCAGCCACGGGCGATACTGTGTCTCCGTTCTTGCTCCACACTGCCCCTTCCACAGGAACGATACAGCCTTAGATGAATTTGTTTGATAGCTCTATATTAAAACATCTTCTAACTGGGGAAAAAAACCCACCTTTCCAGTAATTTTATGAGAGCTATACCATGGCAGCACCATGTCACCACAGGAACAGGATTAATATTTCAACTGATATGACACCAAAACACCACATAGGATGAAAGCCATCTTGTCTAGTTTTGGCTAAATAAATCTGGGTGTCCTGTCTAAGCCTGTCATCCAGGTTTCTGCTGTAACAGGCACAGGAGGGGCTGCCCGGCAGTCTGGACCGCTACTCTCCACTACCTACAGATGAGTCTGCATGTCTGGCTTAGCACAGAGGCCTAACTCTGAAACGGTGACATTAAATGGACTCGATGATCTTAGAGGTCTTTTCCAACTTTAATGATTCTATGATTCTAAATAAGATTAATCCCATCCTTCACGGCTAGCAGCACCACCACAAAAGCTGTCCTCACTGCTCCTTGCTCTTCTCCCCTCTTTCCCCTTGCCCATTCAGATATATTCGGTAGGTCCCTGGGCAGCAGCACACTGGTATTCAGAAGTCTTGGTTTCTTTTGGCAATTTAGTCCCTAGGTTTAGCTGTTTATACAGGAAGACTTAATGAGTACAGTTACTTGTGTGAAAACACAAGCATCTGTGGTTGTGATTATGGCTAAATTCAGCCTGCAACCTCAGCTGTCAATAGTTTATTATCTTTTAAAAATTATGATAAAATTAAATCACATCCCCTAATTATAAAGGGACTATTTTGAGAAGTCTGAAAAAGTTGACCTGCACCTTTCAGGCAGGAGTGCACTTGCCTTGTGACCTTCCCAGCACCCTAAGCATAATGAAGCAGAAATAATTGGGAAATTCCCTCTGATGCCACCTCTCAGATTGTGCTCGCCGCTTCTCAAGGCTGTCATCGCGCTGCCTCCTGCTCGCAGTAATCGCTGCTGGCACAGGACGTGCTCGTACCACGCTGCATTATTAGCAAGCTGTCAGACACCGGGGACGCAGAGCCCCAGTGCCAACACAGAGAGAGTTATAGGGGTAACAATGTTGTTCATTAGGTAAAAATAACTGAACTTTTAGAGTTAAAAAAAAAAAACCACAACACAAAACCCTAGCATTTGGTTAAACGCTATTTTATTTCTTTCTCCATGCCGAGCTCAGGAATGGGTTTATGAGGTGGATACAAGCTGATGCTGAAAAGCGGTAATTTATTTGCAGAGTTCTTTCTGCAAGCCTACAAGGGTTGCCAGGGGGGATTACTTGCTATGTTTTAATTGTTTTTTATAGGCTGGATAGTGCCTGTAAGCCAAGCCCTGAGTAAGGACTCAAACACAACCTGCACCCCAAGGAGAGGAGCTCCCGGAGGCACCGTGGCTCAGACACATGCTCCTGAGTCCCACTTACCCCCACACTTCCCCGTCATGTCCCGGAGGCAGTCACCCACCATGGACCCGTGACAGTAACACAGCTCGGCATGGCTCCCTCTGCCCCGGCTCCCTGGAGTCTGGAGGCAGGAGGAGACACTGGCCACATGGTCCCCATCCACCCGCTCCCAGCACAGGGACAGAGACGTGGGCAGTGACCCCCTGCACGCCCGGCCCCGTATTTTGAGCAGCCAGCAAAGGAGGGGGGGGATTCACGCTCTCCTGTAAAAAATATCCATCACAAGTCAAAGTCCAGCTGTCAAATAGTTCATTCCTTTACACCATCTTCCCCTACGCAAGGAACAGCCTCTCAGTTCAGTTTTCAACCTAACACCTCATTCAAATCTCTCCTGAAGCCCATAAAAATCTGTGAAAGGCAGTAAATATTTCAAGAAGAACAACTCCAAGTTACCTCCCTCTTACCAACTTCCCAGCATATCCTTTTCTCCGCTTCTCCTGTTTCTGTTGTAAACCCAGGATACAGGAATACCATCAATTTGCAGCAATGATGATTGTTCAAGTATTTCAAAGACAACAGGATAATAAAACAATTTACGAGTAAGTTGAAACACTTAACAGCTGACCTCCTCTCTGTGCTGATAAAATCAATAGCCAAAATTTCCCCTCCTACAACAACTGTAGCTTAGGAGTTTGGTTACTGTGCTTCACTGCACAATGCCTGCATCTGCACAGGCGCATGGAGTACGGGGCACGTAGCATGGGATGGCGTCTTTCCAAAGGATATGTGCTATATTAAATGGAAATAAAATATGACCACGTATTTCCTATCCTCTCCAAAGGACCAAATGTAAGATTCATTTACAGACACGATTTAGGAAACTGGACAAAATCTGTGTCACTTCCAGCAACAACTGAGAAATATATTTCTGGAACATTTATTTCTTGCTTATACAAATGGTCAATATTTGATTTGAAAGCAGCATTTTAGCCATCACCACTTTTTTAACTGGCACTTAGGAGAACAGTTTCACACATGACTATCCTGATACTGAAGACCTATTTTACAGAAATGAGCAAAGCTTGGGTAGACGCTGTACCCATAAGAGACAAATGATAATTCCTCTCCCCAAAACATCTCTGAGAAAGAAGATAGAGAACAGTATACTAGACTTATGTGAGTCCAACTTTAATTTGAGTTTTGGCTTTGCTGTATCAACTCACTAGCTAGTTGGCAAAGGGATAAATGATCAGTCATCCGTGCCTGTTTTGTCAAATCTCATCACGTTTCTTAGCATAGGAGTAAGACTTGATGTGCTGATGAGGTTTCTACCTTCATAAATCAGAGCCAAAGGCCAAGAAGAGCGATCACTGGTAACCAGGGCTTGCATCTGCTGAGCTGCACAGGGCTCCATTCTCTTCCATATCCACCCAAAGTCCACATAAACATCTAGGTCAAATTATTGCCAGAAACTAGAAAAGGCCACAGCCTTGAATAGCAGCAGTGGATCAGCATGCTGGCAATGTCTCCCTGTCGTGGTTTAACCCCAGGCGGCATCTAAGTCTCACACAGCCTCTCGCTCACTCCCCCAGGTGGGATGGGGGAGAGAATCAGAAGAGAAAACGTGAGAAAATTCCTGGGTTCAGGTAAAGACAGTTTAATAGGCAAAGCAAAAGCCACGCACGCAAGCAGAGCAAAACCAGGAATTCCTTCCCTACTTCCCATCGGCAGGCAGGTGTTCAGCCATCTCCAGGAAAGCAGGGCTCCATCATGCATAACGGTTACTTGGGAAGACAAACGCCATCACTCCGAACGTCTCCCCTTTCCTCCTTCTTCCCCCAGCTTTATGTGCTGAGCATGACGTCACACGGTATGGAACATCCCTTTGGTCAGTTGGGGTCAGCTGTCCCGGCTGTGCCCCCTCCCAGCTTCTTGTGCACCTGGCAGAGCACGGGAAGCTGAAAAGTCCTTGACCAGTGTAAACACTACTTAGCAACAACTAAAACATCCCTGTGTTATCAACATTATTCTCATACTAAATCCAAAACACAGCACTATACCAGCTACTGCGAAGAAAATTAACTCTATCCTAGCCGAAACTGGGGGACACTCCCTCTGAGCCAGCTTGCCAAGCAAACAAATCTGCACCTGAAGGAACTGTAGGTTATTGAAGTTAAGGGTCAGCAGGACGATTTGAGTTATTATGCTCTTAGGCATAAGGGACAAAGCCATATTTCAACAACTACTTCTAATTTTCAGCTGTAATAATTTGGGGTGCTACAAACAGAGGTACCTTAAAGAAGTCAGGTGTTTAGAAGACTGAAGAACAGCATCTTCTGAAATCAGATCCCTGTTCATTGTTTCATTTTGGGTGCCCCTAAACTGAAGTAACTATTCCATAATGAACTATTTTCATAATCAGTCTGAATTTAACTAATGACTTTAAAATAAGGATAGATAATACTTGTGTGTTTAAATCTGGCACATGGGCATAACTCTTCAGTCCTACCTGCTAAATTCCTCTTTTCATGATGAGGTCAGGCACAGATTTTACCAGGTATGGTGTCCCTCCCATTAATCATTAGATATAAGTTTACGCTTTTTGTCTGATATTTCGCAAATACACGGTCACATCTCTGGCTACTGATCAAAGCCCACAGGGGAAGACTATCTGCAGCTTGAAGCCATCTACTACAGAAGAGCAGGCTTATTGCTAGCGCCACTTCTTCACACCCAGTGCTTGTGACTCCAGCTGTGAGAGGTCCAGGCAAGAGTGTCCACCTCTGCAGGCAATGAAAAAATGGAAGGAAATCCACAGCTGCCAGAAGAAAAGGAGATACAAAAGTTGAAGGCTCCAAGTGATCTTTATCGACAGTGATCTTTATCTTTGAGGCAGTATGAGAGTCTGGCTGCTGCTGCTCTTTAGACAACCTGGGAAGCACATAAAACGGGGCAGAGTGGGGCAGGACAGCTATAACTATTGCACCTCTTTGGGTAGAAAAGGGGGGTAATCCAGACAAGAAAAATATGAACACATCTGTATACACATACATATAACAAATGCAATAACAGAGCCCTCAGGCGACAACCTTTGGATGTCTTGTGGGGAATATATTAGGCTTCTCTGCTGAACAAGGATGGGAGGAGAGCAAGGAGAAGCAATGGTGATGGTGGCCTCTCCACACATAAGGCAGCTGATGGATCAGATAGACCTGCCTGACTCTCCTATTAAGAAAATTTTACAAACATCTGTACCTGATACACCTGTCAGAACACGATGGGTCCAGTTAGTAAGTGATCAGGGTGACAGCTGCATCAGTTTCTCCTTCGCTTGGGTAGCTCCAAGGAGTAATCAAAGCTCCTGTCAACTAGAAGCCATCATTTAAATTTGGGGATCAAGCACATCTTTTCTCAGTAGTTTCACAGACACCCTGTTCAGTGCCTGTTTGCATACGAGATGATATTTTCTCAGCATAAGTTTACCCGAGATCTACACTTCTGCTTACCCATCTGGTCTTATGAGATAATTCTTGGGCATCTTTTGTTCTCCTTGTTCCTAATGCACTCTTTGCTTGTTTAGTTAAGCTGAGGAATAACTCAATTTATTCTACCCTCGAAAAGGAGTATTAGAGAAATCTACTTCTTCCTCTGAAGATGCTAAGCTATCCTTTTTATAGACAAAGATTAAAAGGTCATGAAAAATGCCATTAATATGTCTTCACATACATACTTCTAACAGCAAAATTAGGAGGAGAATGTCTTCTTTTGGCAGTATCGGTGTTTAGTGGACAATATCTTTGTATTCCATCAATCTCTTTTTCTACTAAAGACTGGACTATCAAGAGGAGTGACCAAAAGTCCATCCCCAGACCTGGGAACACAACTTCCCATATCTGTTTTCCTATAAAAATAAATCTTAGCTAAGATGGATTGGAACAGCATATAAGAAAGCACTATTAAGGCACCAACACCATAAAGCCACCAGTTGCAGTTATTCAGTGCAATATGACACACACAGTGGACCAACAGGAAGAATTTACACAAACCTGACTATGCTTTCACATCTACAAATATTGTTTTTCAGTCTTTGTACAGAGTATTTTCTTTCTCTCACGCAGACACAGGAACATAAATAAGTGGATGAGTTGTAGCCATATGGGCCAAGTTTCCTTGATTTTTTCAGGAAGACTTTATGTATTTTATGCTTGCACCTATGAAAGTGAGGATCTATCATGGCTGGACAACGTAGCTCACAATCGGTAGCTCACTGAAAGCTACTTTGGGGATCTCTATTCAAAGTTGTAATTATATCTGCATCTGCCTGGACAGTAGGGAAAAGGTGGAGAGAAGCAAAAAGGCAGACCGGCGCAGATAACAGGCTGAGTTACAGCTGCTCTGCAGGTCTTCCCTAAGGCGAATCCTTTTGCAACCCTGTACGGGCAGCTCTGCACCACAGCCACCGAGCTCTGAAAAGGTCAACGCATCTTTCCAAAGGGGACAGAACTAGGGGTTAGAAGACACTACTCTCTTCCTCTCTCTGAAGATGCATTAATCCTCAAATAATGCAGAATACACTGCAGGTAATCTTTACTGATTCAAGTCCAAAACATGAGATGCAAGTTTGAGAAAAGCTGTAGGTGGGTCAGCATATCTAAAGATTGGGCTCTGGGGCATTAAATATAAATGCAGTAAATTTAGTAACAAAACCAACGGAAAGGTGATTGGACAAAAAAAGTTATTTCCAAATTGTTAGGTTTTCTAGGGAAACTCTTCAGTAAGATTTACCATGTGATAATGTCACTGAAGACAATAGCCCTCATTATCCAATTTAATACGAGCTTAGCTCCACTGACTCCTCTGCGGCCACTTCCCATTCATGCTATTGTAACTTGGATGAGAATTAGACGTAACATCCTAATGAAATTTTAATTAATCATTCGGCACAAGCCCTCAAGAACATTTTTAAAACAGCAGCAAGCGGAAGCAAGTACATAAAGTAACCGATTGGGAATGCTCTAATGCCGAGACAAAGAGACGTTGTGTCAAGCCTGTTTTTGGAAGTCT